TTTTTAATATATTTAAAATTTAAATTATATATTTATTTATTTTTATATAAAATATTCTATGATATTTATTTAAAACACAGATTATTTAGATTGTCATCATTTGTATTTAGGTACAGTGTGACTTCACTGCTCTCTTTGATGTGAGAAAATAAATAAAGGATTCTGGTGGCTACTTAAAGAAGACTTATCTCGTTATTCCCTTTTATAAATTTGTAGGATGGTTGAAACACGCTCTGGTAAGATGCAAGACCCAGCACAGGAGAGAATCCAGGCTGAAGAGTCTGCCAAGCCGCAACCTGGTGCAACAATATATATAGTATATCTATATATTCTTATATATAAAAGTCAATGTCTGTTGTTTGTTTCGCGATAAACTCAAAAACTACTGAACCAATTGGTACTAAATTTTGCATGTCTCTTTTTATAAACCTGAGGAAAAATTTCGGCTACATTTTGATTAGTATCTTTGGAAATTTATTTTTTTCATTTGAATAACTTTTTTTTCGCGGAATAAATTCACCAGGCTAATTAAGCGACCAATGAGCGTTCTGCATTTTTTTTCAAGTTGCTTGCGTACTTTTTTTGAAATATCTTTTTATACGAGTGTTACTTTTTTTAAAAAAAGTATTGAGAGAGAAATTTATATTACTAACTAAGTTAAGGTAAGTGCACACAATGCAATTAAAAAAAAACTTTGCAAAATTAGTGTTACTGTATGTAAATAATGGCTTTCGTATTTTTAATTAATTTTTGTTCTGGCCTTTTTTTATCTCTTAAAAAAATCGTTTAAAATGCAGTCGCAGTCATTAGCAAATACATGTTTGCCTAATTTCCATGTGCTCTTTTATTCTTTTTACAGAAAAATATTGTCACGGTAGTGATGACGAGTATTACAAGCGTTTGAGTAAGAATAATTTATTGATTAGAAATGCAAAACTATTTTATAATTTAATTTACAAATGATAATATACAAGCATGGTAAGGGGTGATGACTAGGCAGATATTTATGATGATAAACAACAGAGTATTCGAAATAATTATTTAGTGACATTGCCCCCTTCCTAGATGGACAGCTTCCCACTGTAATCATCACTTGAACAGATCAGCTTGGTCCTCAGGGTCATGGTAAGGTTTCATTCTCAGTACATGGACCAGGTCTCTTGTTTGGCGTCTCCTGGTTGGTTGGTCCACAGGTTCAACTTCGAAGGTCACGTCCGAGAGTTTCCGAGTAACCCTGTATGGACCGAAGTACCTTTTCATCAGTTTTTCTGAGAGTCCCACCTTTCTTATTGGGATGAAAACCCATACCAGGTCACAGACGTTGTATTACATTGCTTCGTGATTTGAATCATATCTGGCCTTGTCCTTTTCTTGGGCTTTCAAGGTTTCTAATCTTGCTAGCTGCCTAGTCTCTTCGACTCGCGACGCAATCTTATGACTGTATTCCTCTTGGAGATCTTCATGCGGATTTGGGAAAAAAGTGTTTACAGTCGTTTCGGCTTCGCGTCCATGGATCAGTTTAAAATGTGTAAAACCTGTCATCTCCTGCTTGGCCGTGTTGTAGGCAAAAGTGACATAGGGAAGGATAACATACAGTCTCTTTGCTCGATGCCCCCATACATTGCCAGCATGTTAGATAATGTTTTGTTGAGTCTTTCCGTTAATCCATTTGTTTGGGGATGATAGGCTGTTGTAAACCTGTGTATGGAAGAGCACTCACTGGTTAGTAAGTTCCATTAACATCTTTGATTGAAATACTCGCCCACGGTCCCTAGTGATTTCTCTGGGACTCCGTGTTTGAGGACAACATCTTCCATCAAGAACTTGGCAACTTCTTTTGCCTCTCCTGTGGGTAAGGCCTTGGTAATAGCGAATCGGGTTAAATAGTCTGTACAGACTATGATCCACTTATTACCAGTATCAGACTTGGGAAATCTTCCAAGGAGGTCCATTCCAACTCTCTGAAAAGGGGAGGTTGCAGAAGGAATGGCCTTAAGTAGTCTGGGTGGCTTTTGAGTTGATTGTTTCTTTCTTTGGCACTCTTTACAATGAGCGACATACTTCCGTATGTCCCGGAGAAGTCCGAGGTCTTCGAAAATCCAAGATGACCGGCTGTGGGAGCGTCGTTTAAACTTTTCAGTAGTTCTAAACGTAAGTACTTGGGAATAACTAAAAGGTGCTGGTTTCTCAGGGGGTCGAAATTCTTTTTGTATAAAGTTCTTTTTAACATTTGATATCTTTTCGATTCGGCACTAAATCTTTCTGTTTCCTCTATCAATTTACTAATTTTAGAGTCTTTTCTTTGTTCAGCCTCGAAGCACGTTAGAGCATTTATTGAGGGTATATCATCATCCTCATCATTGTATGCTTCTTCCGATTCAAGTTGGAGAAGATTTCGAGAAAGGCAGTCGGCATCTTGATGTTTGCATCCACTTTTATGAACAACCGTTACATTTTATTCTTGAAGTTTTAAAGCCCATCTCGCTAGTCTTCCTGTCGGGTCCTTCAGGTTAGATAACCAGCAAAGAGCGTGGTGGTCGGTGACGATGACAAATTCACAACCAAAAAGGTACGGTCGAAATTTGTTGATGGCCCATATTGCGGCCAAGCATTCTCTTTACGTTGTTGAGTAATACTTCTCCGCCTTAGATGAAGTTCTTGAAGCATAACCAACGGCCCGCTCTTTCCCATCGTTGATCTGTGCGAGGACAGCTCCAATTCCATAACCGCAGGCGTCAGTATGAAGCTCGGTTGGCAGTTGTTCTTCGAAATAGGCAAGAACAAGTTCAGACATCAATGCTTTTTTCAAGGAATCAAAAGCTACTGTTGGTCAGAGTTCCACGTGAATTTCTTATATTTTTTAGGACTTCATGTAAAGGAGCTGCTATCTCAGCAAAATATTCGATAAATCTACGATAATAGGAACATATGCCAATGTAGCTTCTTACATATGTTAAAGATTTTTGGGTCGGAAACTTGGCGATAGCTTCAATATTTTCTAGATCGGGATAAATGCCATTGCCATCGACGAGATGTCCAAACACTCTTATTCGTTTGGTTTCAAAAAGACACTTTTTTGAATTGAGGCTCAAATCTGCATTGCTAAGGCATTGTAAGATGATTTTGAGTCGGCGCAAGTGTTCGTCAAACGTTTTGGAGAAAACTACAATGTCGTCTAGATAACATAGGCACTGCGTCCACTTCAACCCCTTAAGATTTTGTCCATCAAACGCTCAAACGTTGCAGGGGCGTTGCACGGGCCGAAGGGCATCACGAGAAATTCATATAGTCCATCTGGGGTTATGAAGGCGGTTTTCTCTTTATCTTCTTCTTCTACCTCTATATACCAATATCAAGAGCGTAGTAGGTCCATTGACGAGTAAAATTGGGCACCTTTTAAAGAATCAAGAGTATTGTCAATTTGAGGGAGTGGATAAACGTCTTTTTGGTTATCTTGTTCAATCGCCTGTAATCAACGCAGAAGCGCCAATTGCCGTCTTTATTCTTCACCAAGATAACAGTCGATGACCAAGCGCTTTCTGAGTGGCGTATTATCCCGGAATCTAGCATCTTGTCCACTTCCTGTTGAATTGCTTGTCGTTCTGTTGGGGAAACTCGATAGGGCCTGTGTTTAATTGGTCGATGGCCTCCAGGTTCGATTATATGCTTTGTTAGAGGCGTCTGTCTTACTGTATCATTATTGGTATCAAATAGCTTATCAAATTGTTTCAGAATTGATAAGACTTCAGATTGTTGATCTGCTGATAATTCGTTACTAATCAAATTCTGTAAAAATGCAACGTCACCCTTATTGTCATTCTTGGGACTAATATCTCGCGCCAAATTTTCGCCAGGATGAGAGCACTCCGAGATAGCTGTCAAGTTATTTTCTTCAACCTCTTGAATTTTTCCCAGGCACATTCCCTTAGGGACTATTTGAGCTGTGTTGCTAGAATTTACGATCCAAAGTTTTCCTTTATTATGAGAAAGCCTGAATAATGCACAGGTAAGTGTTAACCCTTTTCCTATTAATACCTTTTTCGAAGGTTCAAAAAGTACCTGATTTTTCCCATTAAGCTCTCACTCATAACATTTATTAGTTTGGTAGATTCGGCTGGGGTTACGGCGCTTCTGCTAGCCACAACCTCTCCCATGGAAGCTGATGAATTTAGTACATCTTTAGCCTTTTCCAATCTGATTTCGGCGCGTCCACAATCAATCATGGCGTTTGATGCCTCTAGGAAATCCTATCCGAGAATAATACTTGGGTTAGTATTGGGGAGGACAATAAACTCAAGCGGCTGTTTCAATACATTGATGCTCAAGCTGATTGTGCATCGGCCGAACGATGTAACATTCTTGCCATCAGCAACTTTCAGAGTCATTCCACTATCCTTGAACATGGTCTTTTTTAATTGTCGTCTTAATCCATCAGAGATAACTGAAAAAGAGGCACCTGAATCAACTAGAGCAGAAAATGCAATGTCACCAAAGATGATTTCGACATAATTTTGCTGTAATTTAGCGGCTGTCGACGATGTAGGACTTTTCACACCCGCGGCCTCACCCTCGTTTGAGGTCGCGAAATTTAGTTTCCCAGATTTTGGCGGCGTGGAGATTGGCTTGTATGACGGACTGGGGAAATGGACTGGCGTCTTGGAGATCTTCCTCTGTTTGGATACGGGAATTGTCTGCGGTAGATTTGGCTTCTTATGGCTTGGTGGTTACCTATTTGAGGTTCATGGTGCATGTCCTTCGGGTCTCTGAGTCCATTGTCGGCGCTCTCTACAATAGCGCATAACATGGCCTGGGCGGCCGCAATCTGGTTGAATGTACGTGTTTGGTTGGGGTACGGACTGTCGTGGCGGAGGCCTTTGAATAGGCTTCGAAATTGCAGCTACGTTTTTTTCAATCTCTTCTCTGTTAATTTATTCCAGATGATCATTTGTAAATTGATTTATAAAATAGTTTTGCATTTCTAATCAATAAATTATTCTTACTCAAACTTTTGTGATACCCAGCATCTCCACCAGTTGTCACGGTAGTAATGACGAGTATTACAAACGTTCGAGTAAGAATAATTTATTGATTAGAAATGCAAAACTATTTTATAATTTAATTTACAAATGATAATATGCAAGCATGGTAAGGGGTGATGACTAGGCAGATATTTATGATGATAAACAACAGAGTATTCGAAATATTTATTCTGTGGCAATATTTACATGCCAGTATTTGGATTATTTTTTATAAACCTTTTTTATTCTTACTGAGAAGATGGGCATCGCAGTCAAGATCCATCGCAGTTACTCACTCAACTCAGACAATTTCAAGGGTTAATGCGCTGGGGCGGGTACCACGAGGGTTGGATGGAAAATCTGCCATCTATTTAAATTATATTGATTTTGAAACAAATAAATGGATTGCAAAAAAATAATTAAATCAAATACCTAAACACTAATATAATACAATTTTTGCCATCACACACACTTTTTGCCTGTGGTTTATGTGTTACTTCTGTATTGCTATTCTATGGCCCTTTTACTATTTATTATTGATGTACTTTCAGTATGAGAGAAATTGCACTCGGGGGAATTCTCGGACGAAGCCGGGTCATTCGTCTAGTCTATTTATAAATGTCAATATATATTTACATATATCTTTATAAAAATCCAAAATAAAAATAAAAATCATCAGCAAATATCCACTCTACTGAATCAATTTTTATAAAGATATAAAGATATATATCAAGATTAGAAACTATTTTAAAGGCGTAAGATTCTTTTTGAAAATAAGCAATTTCTACTGCCCTTACTGCAATGGAAAAATTAATGGGAGGGCCTGGCTCATCAGTGGTGAACCCTCCCAGCGGTTTCGCCAGTTTAATCTACCATACCACTGTTATATTGCATTTTTTGGAACTTCCTTTTATAGTGATACTGTTGCTAGACTCTTGGAATGGGTATTTTTAGAAGAACTATTAATTTTTCCATTGCAGTAAGGGCAGTAGAAATTGTTTATTTTCAAAAATAATCTTACGCCTTTAAAATAGTTTCGAATTTTGAAAACAGATGGCGCGCTAGTGCATCATATTATAAATGTTCTAATAAAAGAAACAGTTTGATATTTGCGGAAGAGAGATTGCTCGAAGCATATTATATATTTATAAATGTATGTAATTCTGCTGTCCTCAAAGCCTATGTCCATAGTTCTTCTAAAAATACCCATTCCATGAGTCTAGCAACAGTATCACTATAAAAGGAAGTTCCAAAAATGCAATATAACAGCGGTATGGTAGATTAAACTGGCGAAACCGCTGGGAGGGTTCACCACTGATGAGCCAGGCCCTCCCATTAATTTTTCCATTGTAGTAAGTGCAGTAGAATTGTTTATTTTCAAAAAGAATCTAACGCCTTTAAAATAGTTTCGAATTTTGATAACAGATGGCGCGCTAGTGCATCAAATTATAAAGATATATTTAATGTCTTCATAAAAATCGAACCAGCAGAGAGAGGATATTTGCTAGAAAAATATTTTTTAAATCGAATATTCGTTGGTTATTCAAATTAAAGATACTTCGGCCAGTAAATCCTTTAAAAAAAAGATTTACTGGCCGAAGTATCTTTTATTTGAAGAACTATGAATGCCGGCCAGGCAGCCTCTATCTTTACGAAATATTCGTTAGGCTACTTTCACTCCGATAAAATCCGGGCGAAGCCGGGTACATGCGCTAGTTGGAAATAAAAATGATCATATGGTTGTAATGAAATACCAAATGTAAAATTGCCGCCTAATAAAGTGTAAAAGTTGTTATTAAAAAGTGTAAAATGTCGTCTTAAAAGTGCAATACCTATTACGAAAATACCATCCCTCACACAAAAATGATAAAAATTCTAATAATTTTAAAGATAATAGATTTTTCTTTAAAATAGTTGTATATATCCAGGAATTATATATGTTCCTTTTTTTATATTATGATTATATGTAGATGAAGCGTACATTCCAACTAACTACGCTTCATTGAAGGATGAAAGTTCTTGTCATGGAATAAGCAGCTTTGTTTTGGAGAACCTTTTACCAGAGTAAATGGTCTAGGACAGAGGTGGGCAATCTTTTGAGTCTGAAGAGCCAAAAATTGCAATTTAAAAATTTCGAAGTTTTTAAAGAGCCACAAAATGTTTCTTGTCAACAATAAATAGTACTCGCATAAAGTGTTTTGATTTAAAATGTATTTATTCACATAAGAAAAAAATATCTATTTATTCATATATAAGCAGTGTTTTTAAACAACAAATTAGATAATATATGTATATGGCATATTGTTTATTAGATAATTACTTATTAATCAAGTAAAAAATTAAAACATTACTTACAACAGTAGCTTGTACTTAAATAACAAACAAATGAGCAGGCAAATTCAATGGGAGCGATGGCTTTGCATGGTTTTAGAAAGTTTGGATAAATTGACTCATAACTAGTTGTTTCAAGTTTCGAACACGACTCTAAATTTTCATTTGTTTGTTGGCCTCTTACTTTACTTTTAATTATATTCGTGCAAGAGAACCCTTGCTTACACGAATATGTCGATCGGAAGATAGTCAGCACTCCAAATGCCAACTTCTTCATATCACTGTAGCAATCAGGAAAATAATTCCATGCGTTGAATATAAGTGCCTCAACTCGCGGCATTTCTTTTAAAGCTGTCCACTTTTGTTGAGTTACGTACATACATTTCTGGACCTCCAACTCTTCCAACTCCACTCGCAATCGATGCATTTCTAGAGATCCTGTATCCAAATGGCTCGATCTAGATTTAGTTACTATTTGTGAGGAGAGGATTTACTATAAATATTAGAGTGATTTTGTTGGTTTTGAATTGTTCAAATCTGTCAACAAATTCATCTTTAATTTTTTTATAACTGTGCTGAAGTAATTCGTTGCAACAGTTGCACTAGTTTTTATAGCAATATTGCTTTATAAATTGAAATTAAATAATTTACCCCTCTGAATATATTCTGCAAAAAAATTTAATCTTTTTATCAAAACAAACCAATTCTTCTACCAAAACATAGGCTGGGTTTCCATTTCCTTGCAGTTTTATATTCAGCTCATTCAATTTCGCTGTGATATCCACCATAAAGAAAAATCTTTGCAACCATTTGTCGTTCTCTAATTCAGGGTGATTAATGCTTTTTTCATTTAGAAATGTATTTATTTTGTTTAACACAAAGCAAAAAGTTTCAACACCTCACCTTTGGAAAGCCATCGCACTACAGTGCGATGAAGAAGGAGGTCGGAATACTGAGTCTCCATTTCGTTTAAGAGTTCTTTAAACTGACGATGGTAGAGTGCTTTGCCAAGATGCTATTAACAATCTTGATTACCAAATTCATCACCTCAACTATTTTGACCGGAAATGTTTGGGCACAAAGCGTTTCTTAGTGCATTATGCAGTGAAACGTGAGAATTTCGGGGTTTATTTTGCTCTGAAGAATCGTTGTTGCCCCTTTTACTGTCATACTTCTGGCTCCATCAGTTGCCATTGAAAATATTTTATTTAAATCGATCTTATTGTCTTCAAGGCAATTTTTGCACGGCATTCGTTATATCTTCCCCTCTAGTTTGTCCCGAGAGCGGTAGCAATCCAGGAAGTTCTTCTTTTGGGAAGACAAATACCTGACAAAAATCACTTTTGCACTGAATAAAGTTTCTCAAAAACTTGCAGCACCAACAAAATATGATGGGGAAGCAGTTAAACGAATTTTCAAATATCTAGTAGGAACAACTGTATATGGAATTATGTACCAAAAGGGTCATAAAGTAGAAGTTTGGGAATCTTTCAGTGATGTAGATTTTGCTGGAGACCCAGAAACTAGAAGATCTACCAGTGGAGTTGTGTGTAAACTGCCTGGTGGTGCTATTTCTTGGCTTAGCCAAAAACAAAGATCAGTATCTTTGTTAACAACTGAGGCCGAACTCGTGGCAGCAAGCAATAGAGAAAAGGAAGTCATTTGGATAAATAGACTTTTCAGTGAAATTTCTCCACTAAAAGAGCAACCAATTATAAAAGTTGATAATGCAAGTACAATTAAATTGATCAAAAATCCTGAATTTCATAAGAGAACCAAACATATAGAAGTAAGACACTATTCTTATGCATACCTCTGGTGAATCCTGTATAGGGTCAGTGACCAGTATAAGGTCAGTATAAAGGCTTTTTGTTGTTGTTGTTGAAGTAAGACACTATTTTGTGAGAGAAAAGTATCAAGAAGGTATTTTCAATGTAGAACATATTTCTGGAAAAGATCAAGTTGCTGACATAATGACCAAAGGGCTCCATAAGCCGCGTTTCCAAATGCTGAGATATCTACTGGGTATGAGGGACATTTGAAATCTGATTAAAGGGAAGTGTTGAACATATTAATCTGCAATTTTAAATGTTTCTTTTTGACCAGTAATTTTGTTTTGTTTTGCATTTCTAAAATATAATTAATACAGGTTCCTTCAAAATATCTCTCTGACCACACGTGTTGTCAGTCAGACTTAAGTCTATTTGGTTTATTTACAACGACTGCGGAAGTCCAAGATAATAATAGTGTCAAGCATATTTATTTCTGGAGATATTTTTCATTTATGCAAGGTTGAATTTTATAATTCATATGAGAGTGGCCGTTTAATTTCATTGTTATCAGAAAGCTGAGCGATGAATAGATGACCTACTGTTTGTTCTTCATTCAAGCAGTTGGGATAAATCGTTCCTCTTTTAAAATTTCGCGGAGTATACTTGTGCGTGGCAATGGTCAGTTAGGATGGTTGTTGAAGTACACTCATGTTAGATTCGAGGATGAATAGAGATTCAGATTCTTGACGTAATTCTTCTGAAGTTGCTGGCTGTATAATCCATAGTTTATAGGTCTATCGTTAGATGCTGTGTGATATGAGTTTTTTATTGTGGCCAACGATTTATAGAAAGATTTTGAAAGACAGTGTCTAAGTTGAAAAGGTGAAGCGGGTTTAGCTCTTTGGTCTTCTAGTTTATTTTCCATAATACCGCTGTGACCTTTGACACAGCA